CCCCTAAACCCTTTGTTTATTCTGGACATTGCTACACATGTATTTCTTATTGTAACTCTAGATGTTTTACGCCCCCAATGACACAATTTAGGAGGCTGGCTGCTCTAAAGCAGCCTGTCGGGGTCAACCTAGGCTGAGAAGGAAATAGCTTCCCCACACAGGAGCTCGCATCTGCTTGTTGTGGCCAAGTGCCCTACTGCTACACTACCATGCTACAATAGAACATGACTATAGCACTCGGCCCCCGCTGCAGTGCGGCCATCTTTGCAGCGGGACCTTGCAGGAATCCCCTTTTTTCATCTCTATGTAAACTCAATGAGCTGTGCTTGGGTTTAACGGGGGCAAGGAAAGAACCGAATCTGGATACGGCGGGAGGGATCAAGCGAGCTCTAGCTGGGGGGAAGGGGGTTGTGGGGTGGGGGGCTGGCTGTAGGCAGGCTCAAACTCAAACAGGCGTTGTGATCGGCTAGTCCAGTGATGAGTGAAGAGCGTCAGAGAGAGAGATGTTGTGGAGAGACGTGTGCCATAGCCCTAGCCTAGGCCAAAAAGTAAAAGAACAGGAGAGCGTGTTGTGTGCGATTCCCGAGTCATTGAATTGCGATTGTTGATGCTCGGGCATACGCACACATCCACTTCACCAGTAGGCCTTTTGGTACGACAGACAGCAAAGCGACAAGACCGAGGAAAATGTGGCTTCCATATATGCTTCCAACAAAGACAACAAGAAATGGTTCTCACTCAAATTAAAGACTGAGATAATCAACAAAGTCGACCTGAGAAGGAAGACTAATCTAAAGCGCAAATTTTATTGATGGAAGGATGTAATCGTGTGGATTTTTAGAAAATTTTTTGTAATTCCCTTTTGCATTCCTGTAGCGGGATTTTTTTTCTGGAACCAAAAGTCCCACTGCATGCATGTTCTACAGTATTTATTTGTATATAACTGAACAAAGATTGAGCCAATTGCAAGACGACTTTATTGACATAATGAAGTAGAAGGGTGAACATAGAAATCTTTGAAAGACTGCTTTAACAAAAAAAAAAAAAAGGTTACATGAAAAGCAATTCTTAAAAAGTACATATATCAATGTACAATAAAAATTAATGCATTTTAAAATGATTTTTTGAAGAAAAAAACCCCCAACTCACCAAAAAACATGTAATGTTCATGAAAATTTTCTATGATCTTTACGAGTCAGAATACAAGCGCATCTTGGCTAATTTGAGTTGTAACTGTGTTTCCGAGATACAAATTCCAATTATGTACACATAGTTAATTTGAGCATTTCCATGAACTTACAAGACCCTCATACTGGTACATATTCAACAACCTCAGCATGATATATATATATATATATTATACGTCATTACCACCAGGGCCAGTGGGGCCAAGTGTTATACAGAATAGTGAACAATGTGGGCTGTGATCTTCAGGGGGTGTTCTGACATGGGGGGGAGAGGTTATAGGTTACTTTACTTTTATTGAAAAAATGTTATATCACACGAGGACCTTGTTTTTACATCAACCCAACCATTCACTTGATCACAGCAGAAGTAACCCCCACCCCAAAAAGGAAACAAAAAAACCCCCCAACCACATCCAAAAGTAGCCAAATGTTGAGAACTAAAGTCCTTTTGTTTAGACAAGCTTCTCTACAGATTCTGATAACTGTTTCAACACCCCAGTCCTTTCATTATGTACAAGTGTGAAAGGTAATTTACATTGATGAATGTCATGTACAGTCAAAATTGTCCTACTGCCACCCATTGTCGAGGAAAAAAGTGATTGCCTTAAGCAGGAGTGATGAAAATCAAGAAAACAAAGCTTTCTCTTCTGATTCATGTCCCAACTGGTGCCTGCTTGAGGCTTAGGACTGCCATGCTGTAAGGCCAATTTAATTTTAAATTTTAATGTCTGTTATTTCTTTTGAAGGAAGGACAGAAAGGGAATCGTGAAGTCTAGCGGCTAATGTGAGTTAAATTTTTGAAAGTGTACTAGGCGAGGAAGACTGTTCAAAAGGATTTTTTAAAAAATGTGTCTGAGGAGGAAGACTAAGTGCCATGGTTATAGTAAAACAAACAAACGGCAAATGAGCGACACTCCTGTCGCAAGTTCACATTGGTGTCCATTGTTACCAACTGGGTAAACAGAGAGGCCATTCATTCATCTCACTTGTGATTCGTGTATGATCAGAGAAGTGCACTGTGGCAATTGGAAAGTGGCTGTTTGAATAGAGGTGATTGTCATACATGTATTTACAGGGGGCTGTGTGGGCAGGTCTGACTGTACATGCACTTGTGTATTGGAATAAACAACAAATATATATCAGGACCACTTGTGACTCCAGTGAGGACATTCTACATAACAAAATAATCATTGTAATAAAATAATGTGATCTATGAAAGCCACTCTCTCTCTCTCTCTCCTGTCTCCAAGTTTCTCTCAGTCTATCTCACTCTTCTTCTCCCCC